TGAGACCGGCTCGGGAGATGGTGCTGAGAGGGGTGGCTCCTGGCTGCTGAAAGGCTTTACCGGAATCTTGACGGTGCGCTGGCAACCACTACCAGCTGCCAGAAGGCTTTACCAGCACCCTACAGCATGCCAGCGAGCACCACCAGCTGCCAAAAGGCTTTACCGGCATCCTATGGTGTGCCAGCAACCGCTGCCAGCTACCAAAAGGCTTTACCTTACCAGCATCCTACATCATGCCAGCAACCACTACTGGCTACCAAAAGGCTCTACCGGCATATTACGGCATGCTGGCAACCGCCACCGGCTGCCGAAAGGCATTACCAGCATCCTACGGTGTTCCAGCAACACCTACCAGCTGCCGAAAGAGTTTACTGGCATCCTACAGAGTGCTGGTGAGCACCACGGGCTGCCAAAAGGCTTTACCAGCGTCCTGCGGCATGCCAGCAACGGCTACTGGTTGCCAGAAGGGTTTACCAGTGTCCTACAGCGTGCCGGCAACCACTACCAGCTGCCAAATGGCTCCACCAGCATCCGGCGGCACGGCAGGACAGACAGACAGGACCTGGTTCGCGTGGCAACTCACAATTTATTGGCATGAGCCATACACACCAGCGAGCGAGGCAGCACGGTGAAGTGTCACCGCAGGGCACAAAGCCCGGTGACATGGCCTGGAGGCTCCCAGCATGGCTACACAGCACCGAGACGCTCCTGGCTTGGCACCGGCAAAGGCACCAGGCGCTCGCAGTGTCGGCGTAGGGACCACAGGCTCATCGAGTGCAACCACGAGCGCAAGGAATGGCGTTGGTGCCCTTCACCCATGTGATCGGCGCTGCCCAAACTCCCGGCACAAAGCCGCTGGCGAACAAAGCTGCGTCTGCTCTCACCAGAGCCCCTGATCGCATCCGCGCCAGCGACGTCGGAGCAAGACGCATGACCAGTGCCGTGCCAGCACCTCTGCCTGCAGCCAAGGGGAAAATCCTTCCCCCTCCAGCACCAAATTGCCATTTCCCTCTCTGATTTATTTGCCTCCTGGTGCAAACGCACCGCTGCGGCACTGGCAGCTTGGAGAGGGGTTTGGTAAAACCCCTTGGCAAAGCAGGAACGCCAGGAAGGCAACAGTGAGGCAAAGCAATAAACTGCAGAAATTGATAAAACATAATTTTATGGTTTTGGTTTTAAATTTGTTCACTTGGCTCATGCTCGAAGATGGAACTTTGAGCTGCAACGGTGCCACGTGCTCAGCTACCAAATCAAGAAATTAAAAAGAAACAGGTTTCGGCAGTGCGGAAACAGTGTTACCTGTGTAGCCAATTTTCTCGAAGCTGAGCAGGTTGAAGATACTGTTATAAAGCTGCATTTCTTTTTTCCTCGTTTGGTCCATTTCATCTAAAATCTCCATCAGCTCGTTGCCGGTTTTGGTGGGGTGGGTGCATTCTGCTTCGTGCACCGTCAGCTCGTGGTAAGGACCCTGCCAGGGGCAGCCGATCCGCTTGTATTTGCACTGGGTCACCCTGGGGGAGGAGGGGAAAAAAAATCAGCGGGAATATCCACTGGATTGGGATGTTGCACGGAAAAATAATGTGGATCCGGCCGGCCTGGCAGCAAGGACAGCGGGGATGCGTCCTGGCTCGCTCCTGGACGTGGATCCAGCACTTCCCAGTGAGACGGGAACATGAGCGGTAAATCCAGGAGACCCCATGGAAAACCATCAGCGCAGCCGGAGCATGGTGGGTTCCCAATGGCCATGGATGCTGGCACGGAGAGGGGGACCTCTGCCGCACGCCAAAGCGGCACTGCATCCTCCAACAAACCACCGTCACCTCCCAGGGGAGGTGGGACACGGCTGGGGGGGAATTTAGGGGCACAACCACCCTGTGCCAGCCACTGGAAGGGACACAGGGCACTGGTGAGTGCCGAAGATGCCAGCGCCGGTGCGGAAAAACCCCCCTGCCTGTGGCGCCGGGATTGTGGGGGCTCAGCACCACCGTGGTGCCGTGTCGGTGGAGCACCACGAGCCGTGTTGGCAATGCCAGCAGCACCGGTGCCGCACCAAAGGGCAGCCGAAGTTACCTGTCCTGGCATTCCTCCTTCTGGTGCCTCTCCAGGAGGGAGCGGGGGAACTGCTGCATGCAGAAGCCACACTCAGAGGGCAGCTCGCTGACGGCTTTTTCCACGGCAAGGTTTCGGCAACACAAGCTCTTACTGATCTCGCAGCGGCAGTTGGGGCATGTGGCTTGTTCCTCCTTCAGCCGAGCGTCTGCCAGGAGGTGGATGAAGCAGCCGGCGCACATCAGGTGCCCGTTGGTACACTGCAGGGAGAGGGAAAGAAAACATCACATTCTCACCGCATCTGGCGCAGTGGGGAAACCGAGTCACGCAGAGGGAAATAAATTAGTTTGGACCCATCGGCGCCAGTGAAAGACACGTTGTTTTCCCCATTTTGCTCAAAAAACCACCGCGGCAAACGGCCGGTCGAGCCCCCGTGCTGGCTGACGGTGTTTCAGAGGACGGGCAGCGTCTCCGGCTCTCGCACGAGCCTGGCCACGTTGTGACCGTAATTAGGACTGATGGCGTTTGCCTCGGATGGGAGGGGAAGGGAAAAGCTTCATCCCTCCTCCTCCGGTCCATATCCATCCCACTGGAATCCAATTCCACCCATCAGGAAAGCAACAGGAACCGGCTCCAAGGGCTTGGATCACAGGGACAGACACGCCGAGGACCGGCTCCAGAGCCAAACCCGGAATCCCGCTTCCCGTCGGAGCATGGGGCCAGGCTGCCAGGCTTCAAACAGGCGAGAAAAACCCCAAGAAATCTCTTTTCCTCCGATTCATTTGTGTTTTGAGACCAGGTGACACGATATCACCGCGGCTTGCCATAATATCGACGTCGCCTTCTGGCACGCGGACGCACCGGCTCTTCCCTTTTTGTACTAAAAAATATAAGAAATCTCTTGGTTTAGGGCAAAAATAATCAGTTCAAGCTGCGTTTACATGCTTCACAGCATCGGAGTTGATCCTGGTAGAGCTGCGAGCACCGGAGCGATCCCAACCCAGATGGATTTCTGGAGTTTGCTGAACGTGATGCCACGGGAGAAGACATTTTCATCACTGCCGGGGGTCTGGGTGACAGCACTGCCTGTAAAATGCAGTGACGGTGCTGCCGAATCCATCCAGAGCTGCCGGAATCCCCGGCTGGACGTTTCTCCATCGTCTCTGGTCACAGCTGGGATCATTCCAGGGACACATGGCTGCTCCCAATGGCTGGGAAAGATCCCACCAGCAGCTTTGGGCTCCTGCAGTGAAAATCCTTCCCTGAAGTCCGGTGAAAAGCTGGAACACTGACACCTCCAGGACGAGCTCCACAACTGGCCAGGCAGAGCCGGCAGCTTCCCAGCCCAGCGGGGTTCAGCCCAAATTCCCGCGAGATTCCTGC